GAACCACTTTAAGCACCTGGAACAAGGGAGAACCATTAATTTTTAGCAAATGGGACTAGGGTATATTTGAAATATTCCTATTCTGGCCAGTAGAGGGAAGTCATGTAAGTACACAGCCATCACTGCAGTGTGGTTTTGCTATTCCCATTCCTGCACTTCATTTAATTCTCCTTGCAGCATAGGTGGGTGGGTGGGGGAAATACAAATCAACCCCTGAGAAATTAGGAAAGGTAAGAATTGCAAGAAAAAAAAAAGTGGTATCCATTATTAGATCAATTAGTGTAGCTGGAAAAATTGGATGGTCTTTTGAACACGCCTGTCCAGATCTGAAATTGAAGCTCAAATGCTCAAAAAGCTGCCAGCTTTTTCCAGCTGCTCCTTGATCTAATAAATAAATAAATAAATAAAACTTGTCTACCTAAAAACCTGTCCTGTTTGTGTCCACAGGCCATCACAGCTGCAGTAACACAACCCCAAAGAAAGGAGGTACCAGCATCTGTGATGACTAGCCTAGGCTGTAGATCCATCCACGATGTGGATTCCCACCTCCAAGTCAGTAACAGCAGCCCTACAAAGTAATAAAGGATTTGCATCAAGAGTGGATGGAGGGGCAAACAATTTCCTTTGGGGGATCATTGTCAGCAGCTGCTTAGCATCCCAAAGAGCGCAAAAGCAAGGGAACATTCAGACTTGAACTGGCAGTTTCCTCTGTTCCTAAATAATGCATATACACGAGGGTGAGAGCTGTGACACGCACACAGCAGCCTGCTGAGCCTCTGCTGCCATGGCGTGAGGACACCTCCAAGAGATGCACATCACTGCACAGGCACAATCATCCCAGGACAGCCACACCTCCAGGCATGCTTGACTGCTCAATTTCACTCAACCCAATGACATAAAGAGGAGAAAAGACAGATAGATAAAATAGATTTTGACTGAGATGCACCACTTAATCCTTTTTTCCCCATCAGTAAGCTCTCTTGCTTTCACTTCCTAGCAGGCATTATGCAAATTGAGAGTCCCCTGAAGTGATATTTGCAAGTGTAGGATCATACAAGAAAGGGCAGAATGCTCCTTTGCCAATACAACCCCCTGCCCCTACTATTCTTTTTCAAATAATACTATACTCATGGTAAGTACTAAAAATATGTACTCTACCATTCAAGCACTTAATGTTCTTAAATGCCACTTTGTTCAGGGGAAATGGTCTTTGTAAAACATGAAATTCACTGGGAACAAAATTTATGTTTCAATCTGATTTACTCTATTTATATATATATCTGTATTTATTTTTTTCCAGCTGATTACATCAGTTAAATCTCCCTCTCAAATACCATCCAGCTAAAGCAAGTACTTCAGGGAGGCTGTTGATAACTTATTGACTATGTTGGGTATCATCAGCTGTTGGCTTATGTCTGAACTTTACAGTCACTTCCTGGGGCTTGAATGATACATGGTGATACACAGGGGCACTGGGAAAAGAAAAATCTTATACTGCAGTGCTATTAGTGTATGTGCTGCGATCGCTACAAATACATGGGTTAGCCAATTTTAGTTGAAGTAGTAACAGATCAAATTAAACAATAGGACACTGAAGCCCCAAGTCTTTCCATGGCAGAGAGAAACAAATATCCTCAGAGACAAAGGTTGACTTAGACAAACATTCCTCCGTGGCACTTGACGACACTTAAAGCTCATTTAAACGTGAACCACTTGCTGTCTGCCTGCTATGAGATAGGTGTGATTTTCAGTGGCAGTGAAAAAGACCATCTCCAAGAAACAGACATTTAAAATCCAAAGAGAGATCCACTTCCCTATGCCCTGAGCTTTATTTCATATTGCAGTGTTGGAAGCCATGCCAAACACTTGTCCTGTTGTTTTATTCAGAAGGCTTCTTCTTCCAAAGACAGAATTGGTTTCTGTTTCATAACCTTCCACATTGATATTTTATTGTCATGAATTATTTGGGATCAGTAAAGTGTGGATCACAATGTCTGGAGCCCTCCACAGGGGGTGTCTGCTCTGCACTCTCATTTGATTCTCAACAGCATTGTTCTCACTTCATTTAAAAATATTCATTCCATCTTCTAGTTTATATCGAGTCCTGGGTGACCTAGTGAATATTTCCCCATTTTCTGGTAGCTGGCTTTATATTTGTTGTATAATTTGGGGCAACTACAGGACTTACAGTCCTACTCAATTTCATTTGCATTGTTCTGGTGTCCTCGTAGAAACCTGAGGTACTCAGTGAAACATCTAATATTTAGTTTCCATTTTTCATTGTCATATCCTGCTATCTCACTCAGTTTTCACCTTGCCTTCCCCCACATACATTTGCTCATTGACATAAATTACTGTTTTGCTTGAGTACAACTTACGTGTTTGGCCCTTCGCTTCTACGAGAGCAGCAGTGATGCCTAGAACAGATGCAATGCTTTAAGTGCTTCCCTAGCTTTTTGGAGGCGTCAGTACAGAATGAGTTTGACTGCATGAGTCATGGCTAAAGCTGTTTTAGGAAGGAAGGATAAAGGGAGGTCTGTCCAGCACAATCGAGAAGAAAATCTGCAGAATCATCATCATAACCATCCTGCAAACTTACATTTCTCAGTAATCACATCTGGCTTGATACAAAGGCCATTGTATTTTGGATTTGGACCAATGTGCAGATGCCTTTGCCTGTCCACATCCCGTGTAGAGTAAAAAGTTGGCTCTCTTTATTGGCAGAGGATATAGCAAGAGGAAGAAGTTCAGTCCAAACCTTTTCTTCATGTGTGGCTGTTCCTAGAGCTCCTAATTCACAAGGGCTCAACCTTGACCCTACATCCTCCTGCTTCTACTGCAGGATCATCTGGATTTCCATCAGCATGATGTTAACAAGCAACTCACATGAGTAAGACGCTGACTGGCTGAAGCAAGATGTCACAGAAGGGGATCTTCTCTCTGCTTTGATAGCCAGATACTAACTAATCGGTGTGGCAGTACTGGAAAGGTTGTAGATGGTTCTTTAGCGCATCATGCCAAAATGTGAAGAGTGGATAATTTTTATTTCATTATACTCTTGTTCTGCACAGACTTCAATATTGTCAGAGTGCTGTATGAACTTTAACCAATTAATGAAACATGAACTGCTTATTAGGTGACCCAAAAGGTCTCTCCCCTCCGATCCGTGAATAACAAGTGAAAATCAACGTGCTGCTGGTAAATGCATATGCATGAAATCTTTTAAGACACTTGGCTAAAATAGCTAATAATAAACTTCACAGCATTCCTGAGAAATCAAAACAGGAAGGGAAAAGCAGCCAGCAAAAATAAAACATTCTTCTGCAAAACACTGCCTAGACAAGTTAGCATCAGCTAAATGATCAATAGGTCACCATTACGTATGATATTTACATCTGATCTGCATTACTGCATTGCTGGGCTGAAATGTCCAACACGGCTCATATCAGCTAGCACTTCCTTCCTTAAAATCTGCCTTCATATAAAATTCACCTTGATTTATGTGCTTGCATCCAGTGCTGTACGTTTGAATGTAACATTGCCAAACTTTCTACTGTGTTCACCTGCTGGTTAGAGAGCAGAGATATTTCAAGATGAAAACAAACTAAAGATGGTTGCAGAAGGCTTAGTATTTTCAAAGAATAGAAATAATAGAGTTTTGCATATGCTCAGCCTTCTGCTGCCATTATGTCACGGTGTATTATCATTTTCTGCTACCGAAAAATAGTCTACACACCATGTATTTCCTTAATCATGGGTTGATTAACTCCTTGACACACATACACACAAACCTGCAACAATTCTTTTGCTTTCATCAACTAAAAAATGTTTGGGGGAGGTTTTTTGGCATCTGCTGTGTAGAAACTTACTTGGGCTTCAAATCTGGAATTTCAGGTGTTTTCGCTTTCTTTCACGTGCGCACGTTTGAAATTCAAATGGGCCCATATAGAAGCTCCGTCCAACTCTTATTTTCCAGAAGGTGAATTTTAGCTCCACCTTCACTTGAATGCTAATTGTGTAGCATCACAATAAAACCACACATGCTTCCTGAAGGCATGAAAAATTCCCTCCTGACCCTTAGAAAAATCTGCCAGTTATTCCTAAATATAACGCCGGCTAATAACAAGTTCTGTAATTACACAGCACAGAGTACACAGAGCCTTCCTTTTACTGCACTAATGCTATGTTCTTCAAGGCAACACTGAGGAGTGGCAGATTTATAATATTAAACGAGAAGATTTCAGGCATAAGGTTAAGAAAGGCAGGCCAATGGAGAAGACGAACATACGGAAATACTCCACAGGAATAGAGGAAAGGGGCTTCACTTGATAAACTTTCTGTAAATCTATTGGCCTCATTCACAATGAATATGACTGAGGTTTTCTTAGCAAGTAGCCCCTTGCTCCTAAACATTTTTTGTCTGTAAAACGACTGCAGATTTATGCACTTGAACTGTTTCACTTCCTAACGTTCTATAAATAAGCCTCATCTGGTCTATTTCTCACTATGTCCAAGTACCTTCTCACTGAGCCTAACTCATACAGTCCCAGTTAGCTGATGCTTTCCTTCACGTAAACTAGACTTTCCAAAACCTGATCTAGTGCCTGGGCTCTTCATGTCCCGTGAAAGAAGTCTCTAACAGCTGCTCAGTGTTGCTACACACTAGATCAAGTATTCAGAGATGGATCTATCAAAGAGGTCAACTCCCTCCTGATACTGCATTAACTAATCTGCTGCTATTTTAAACTTCGCTTGGCCTTGTTATTACTTCTACTCCACTGCACCACTTTGCATAGACATATTGCATTTCATGAATCCATTTACCCAATCAATCAAGATCATTCTGGGAACAACTTAATTCTTCTAAATTATAACTATTCTTCCTATTTTAGCATAATCTGATAAGACAGCACAGTATAAATTATGAAGAAAATGTTAATACAAAGCCAACCCTGCAACTATCTGCTTTTGCCCACACACACAAAAAAATTGCTTCTTACCTTCTTTGTTGCTATGTAAGAAATAAGGGGATACTCTTGCTCACTTTCATTCTTGCAAGCCTTTCTCACTTGTGTCTTCCTATTGACTTTGCCACAACTCCTCACACAACTGAAAGGATTACTGTCATAGTTTGAAGCTTCCAGGATCAGGTCCCAGTTCTTTACCTGTGTTAATAATTTATTACCTAGCCCGTGTATGCAGAGGGTGTAGAATAATACATCCTGTGAAACTTTGTTAAAAGCCTCTGAAAATCCCAATATGTCTGCCGCTTCCCTCCCACCTAGATCAATATTTATTTAATTTAAAAAAGGAATCCAATTTGCCTGACATGATTTACTTTCCACAAATCCATGCCGACTCGCATTATGATGCCACATTCTTATTAAACTGTAGGCAAGTGTAGCTTTATGCTGCTAGGAAATGTATTTTTGAGACTGCATTTATAAACAGTGGAATCCTCTGAGGGGCTGCAATGCCCAGCGCAAGGAGTTGAGGAGATCTTTATTGCCCAACTGGTCTGTTATTTTCCACCTCAAACTGTTTTCCTTTAAAACACCAAAACAACATCGACTCTTCAAATGCTAGCTCTTAATTTTGATGCGCATTTACATTGCAAGTCATGGCCATTTATCAGGAGTTGTCCTGTGCCCTGCATTATAAAGTCCCTATGTAGAAACAGTTCCCAACGCCCAGGGAGTTTAGTCTATGGCAATGGTCCCACAGCTGATCTTATTGTTGGGCCTCAGTCAGAAGCCAGGCCACATCAGCAGAAACAGACAATCATAATGTCAACAGCACACAGCTATACAAAGGAATAAGCAGCTGCAGGGTTTCTTTCTGTTTTGTGTCACATCCCAAACAATGTTCCATGCTGTTCAAATGACCTTAGGCAGGCTGTTCCTCCCATGGCGACACAAAGCGCTTGCACTCATCCCACTGCTCAGTTCTCTGATCCCTCACTTCACCTGGAGACTGATACTCAGGTACAGTGGTGTGCTACTGTTTCAGCACGTTGTCCCTTGCACCCTTAGTCCTGTCTTCTCAGCTAATGAGTGATGTGCTCTTTAGCAAGCAGATGTGCCAACAAAGTGTGTCTCTTCCTTCAACCTCTTCCTAAGGCTTCAGCTCCCAGGTCTGCTGTTATCATTGCATTTCTGCATGCCTGTCTGGGGATAAATCCTGTCCAGTACTGACAGAGGGTGCGGAACCCTCATTGCTTTCTCATTCTCTCCAATTTGGCAGTTCCTAAAGCATTTCCAGAATCTCATCCTACCAATAAACATTTTCCCAGCTATTTGTCCAATGAAGTTTCCGTTTTTATTCTTCCTCCCCTCCGTTTCCTCTTACCATGCACTAACAAAGCACTGAACTGAGCTCTTACTGATTTCTTAGAGGACAATTTGTATACATACAATAGTCAGAATGGCCTGGAGTATGTTGGTACGTACTTGCCAGACTGGCATTCATCAGTACTGTGAAACAGAACAAAATCCCATTGCAATAATGGGACTTTTTAACCCCTTTGTGATAACACAGCCAAATGCCCCTTCAGCCCCACACGTAATGCCAACAGCTGGGCACGGAAACACAAACCCACCCAACTCAAACCACGGCATAAGTACAGAATTGTTCAGGTAGCATCAAGCTGTTTGTGGTATTTCTCATCAAGTACCCTACCTTGAACTCCATGGGGGTGTACTTCTCATTCTTGGGGGTGGTGTTGCCCTTGTAATGGAGATGGTTGGGAGTGGTTGGGTGGATAACAGTCGACTCCTGGGACTGCCTCTGACAGCGCTGGCAGTACACATAAATCACAAACGTTAAGAGGCTAGAGCCAAAGAAACAGGAGACCCCAGTGGCAATCAGATGGATGAGGCTAAAACCTGCAAGGGAATGACAAGAGATGCTATTTTTAAAGAACAGCCTTTTTCCCTCTCCCGACAAGACCACAGGTGCAAATCAGAGCTATGACATCTTGGGATCAACATTAATAAGCTGTTGAAGCCCGAGTCTTACGTTCCAACATAAACTGACATAATCTCCCTGCAAATCGGTCTCCCCACTGCAGCTCAGCCTTGTGCAGTTTAACAGGTTCATGCATTGTTTTCTCCAAGCTCCCTCCCTGTCTCTCCTCTCTCCCCTCTATTGATATTGAAACTAAACATTATGTTAAGCTGACAGCTAAAGAAATGAGCCGTACAAACAATGCACATTAATGGATTCCAAAGCATGTGCGTGTCATGGAAATAAGGGGATAAAAATGCTCAGTGTTTCTCTGAAGGGGAAGGAAAGGAGGGGAAAGCCCTTTTTGTCAGCTGCCCAAAATGCCTATGGGACTGTGTGTTGGGTGGGGGAGAGACACATTCCTCCCCCGTGTAATCCAAGTGCGCTCAGCATTCTTACTTATTCACAGAGGGGTACTGCCCTGGCCACCTCTGCACTGCTTCAGAGGTGTATTTGTACTGCTGACAGTGAAACAGGAGTCCTCAAGGGAACGGGAATGATAGGAAGAAGAAAGGAAAGGGGGGTAACTGCTTGAAAAAACTGCTTTGGTTGGCTTTCTCCACAAAGACAGGAAGGCAGTTGCAGGCAGGTGCCAGTGGGGTAGCTACAGTGCGATTATTTCAAAAAGCAAAGCTCCAGGACTATAAAAGCCTCCCACAGAGCTCTCTCCATGTGGGCTTTCAGCAGCACCCTCCAAGCACAGCGCTGCCCCCAGGAAGGAGCTGCAGCGCTGGTAGTGCCTGCCTCCCACTGCGGCTGGTGGGGGAAGAAAGTCAAATCTCACCTCCCTTCAGGGTCTCAAAATGAATGACCAACAGATCTCCACCACCACCAGAACAAATATCAGTGACCCTTACAGCCACCAAGTTAACGAAGCAACGAGAGGCACCCTTGGGTGGCAAAACTGTACAACCCTGTTGCCTTTTGCTGTGTGCAGGGGGGAATCTACAGAAGAAGAATCAGCAAGGTGACCCCAAATGTTGCTGCCTTTCCCCTGCTTTTGCTCTGTAATATTTCAGACAGGAATGACAGGGGTCTAGTGCCTGGGAGGGATTCTCCACTGCTGCTCCTCCAGGGCAGCCGTCCTGGGGAATGGCCATATTGGCTTGGTGGGGTCTGCAGCAGTAAAATTCCCGTAATACTTAAAAAGCCAATTCGTTTGGACAGACCGCTGTGTTGACTTAACTGTGTGCAGAGAAATGGAAGGGACTACTCAGAGAGTGGCTTTAAATGAGGTTCATTCTTAGTCTGTTCACGGCATTCATTTTTTTTGGTGCCATCTTACATTTTAACTGATATGCTTTTCAGATGAATTCTGCCCATTAGTCTGCTGCTCTCCTCTAATCTTTAGTTAAAAAATATCCTCCTGAGTTTAAAAGGAACCAAACCAATAGAGTCCTACAGCAAAGTAATGCACTTCAATCATAATTACAGTAAGGAACATACAGAATTTATTAGACTGACAAGCTACATTTATTTTTTAAACCACACTATAGAATTCTATTGCAAGATTACCACTTTCTATTGTGTTTTGGATGAGGGTCCAAAAACCAGCAGAAAGACAGTAATTTCCTACTAAATGTTGTAAGACTCCCAAAAAGACATTTCCTTTCTAAAAGAGCTCTGCCTCACTCATGAGAGCTAAAACACAGAATATGCAACTGTGCTCAGTGAAGCCACATAACGCTGTCTCATTCTCCTCCTGTCCAGCTTTGCTTACATTGCAGTGAATGTTTCATTTCACTGGTACATTTCCCAGTTCACTACAGTAGGAAATCCTTTCTAAAACATAAAGCTCTCTTACTTTTCACTTTCACCTTTCAAAGACCCACCTGATTTTTCAGGTGAGTTTTAGCAGTATCTGAGGGATAAAATGAGTAATTTTGCCTGCAGTACTTGAGTCCCCAGAGGGGAAACTTTTTGGAAAATACAGATTTTTTGAGATGCATCGACTGAATTTCTGTTGATTGGCTTCCTGGCCAAATATTGTAGAATGCTAAGTAATGAATACAATTAGCTAAGGTAAAATGTAGATTACAACAGCAAATATAATGGTGGAAAAAGAAGGAAATGAGAATACAGAGCATAATAGCAGAATGCCACCCATGGGAAGGAAGCCTGGAACAGATACATTGCGCTCTCTGAGGGGGAAGGAGTGATGCAGAAAGCCGACTGTTATGTGGTAGGTGCTGAAATCTTAATTCCATCGATTGCCCCACAGTCACAAACCGAGGCCACATTTCCATTCCACACGTGGCATGCTTTTTTTTTTTATTTTGCCATGATCTGCACAGGGAGAAGAGATTTTGGCAGCCTGCAGATCATCTAGATTTCAAGAAAGCAGGGGTGTGATGCTAGTGGGAATTGACATAGTCATTAGTGTGAAACTAGCATTTTAAAATGTCGAAGGAACTTGCCATTTTCTTCAGTCTGGATTTTTATCACAGGGGCTCCTAGGGCAGTCGAGAAGTGACACTAATGACTGGATCTTTCCAATTTACATGCAGAAAGGAGACAATTTCTTTGAGAGGTGAGGACTTCAGTGAAAGAAAGTGCTTGGAGGACAACTATAAGCTTTAATCTAGTCCTGTATCAGCAAAGGAACTGTCTAAGAGACCCCATTCAGTGAAATCTTTATAGGTTACTTAAAAACTCCTGCCTTCAAACAGCTGGAGGCTTACAGTGGTAAAATGAGGACTATCCCTTCATTCTCCTGAACCATTTATCCAGTGGGTAGAGATAGACAAGCAATTTGCTCCCTGGTAATTAATGACCCTTGGTGGCCAACCCAAACCCCCAAATAAATAAAAATCTTGGAATTGACAAGTGGCCAGTGTGATACATTCCTCCAGTCTGACTCAGACAGCAAGACTCCAGTGGAATTAAGGCTATCACTGGGATGTGAACTGTATAGATTAATGGTTTGGTTGATACTGCACAGGGAGAAAAGAAGCCAGGTTAAGATAAAAACAAGATATATAGTTAGTGGTATCCTACCTCCACAGTTTGTGCTCTCATCAATGCTGGAGGCTGGTAGGATCACTAAACAAAGAGAAGAATATTGGAGAAAGTTGTCATTTTGCCACCACTTTACTTCTTTAAATAATTAACCACCCCCCAAGCTCCAGACATGAAAAGCTGCTCCTGTGTTCTGCAGCAAGCTGAGAGTCTCTCTAAATTGAATGGAAAGCTCAGAGTGTAAACCACATGCAACAAAACCTCTCCAAAGACCTGACAATTACAGTACTGTTACCTGAATACTGTTTAGATTCTTCAATTTAGGGGAAAGAAGGTAGCTGAGAGAACCATGGAAAAGAGACTACCACTATCTAGAGATCTCAGATTTTCAAGCCAGGTCATTATAGTCCAGAAAAGAACATTTGGAAGGTGTTATTCGGCCTAGACAGATATCAAATATTTTCCCGAGAGACTCATTTTCCGCAAAACATAGAGTGGAAAATGTTAATGACCATCTATCCATCAACCACGCTGCTCTGTTAGACACTTGATTATTCTTCCCACTTCACACACAAGTTACCTTCACCTGCCCCACCTTGTTTCTTCACTCTTTTAGGATGCTTCCTTTGATACCTGAACTCAAGGACCTTCTGTTGCCTGCATCCATGCTGAGAACAGAGCTCATTTTTATAACCCAACCTCAGATGAACTATGCAAAGTTAAAAGTTTCAGTTCAGGTGAAGCAATACTAGTTATTTATTATAGAACTAGGTAATTCTGTTTTTTAAGAGAGCTGAGCTACCCCAAGGAATGCCAGCTACCCTATGCCTGCAACAAGGGAGTTGATAACATATTCATCAGTTTGCTTGTTTTTCTAGAAGCGTACAAACCCCTTTTATAGTAGAAAATACCTCGCTCTAGCTTGACACTCTGGGGATGAGCTGTTTTTCTGAATTGGCCCACCCTCTCCTTCTCCAACAACATTGTACATACCTGGAATTTCATTGTACAGGCAATCCTGGTACTGCGTGCTGTTTCCAACGCACTGAGAAGAGTCTGGACTGTGCACCTCGCAGTAACGGCTGCGGTACTGGATACCCTCCTCATTACACAGGCTCCACTCTGACCACTCTGACCAGCCACCTTAAATCCAAGATAAGGAAAACACATGGACAATATCACCAAGAAGGAAAAGGATCTCTTGTGGAAAACAAACTTCTCCCATGCTGGAGGGTGTCTAGATCTTCACCTGGGCCTCACACATGCAATCCAGTGATCTTCAGTGGATTTAACTATGTCAATACAAATACCAGTGCAGGCATCACAGCCTACTTGTCAGACTGAAGTTTTCTTAACACAGACTGAACCGACCCTTGGTGGAGCACTGCACAGTGCAGAGTTGTTTCAATAGCTCCTATATCAACTCTGTGGTTAAAGATGTACAAGGAGTTGGATGGGGCAATCTTGCACCAGGACCTCCAGATTTTAGGTTGTCTCCCAGGAATACCCCAAGCAGCCAGCACAAATTATAGCAGTTATAAAGCTTTTGCTAAGGTTCCTAAGGGCAGGAGTCAGCCTGCGCTGGATCAGAAATACAAAAAGGTGATTCAAAACCAGCACAGATCTGAACCCTAAGCTCTGAGTTGTAGCACACATTCATCTGCCAGTCTGTAAGACAAAAAAAGGAAGGATCACCCCTTCAGCAACTGTACAGATTGATGCTTCGTGACTCCTTGTGCTTGTCTTGCAGCTTCCACATTCAAGAACCGAAGTCCTGCTTTTTCAATTACTTTAAATGGATCATCCATTAACAAGATTTTTCCTGGCCAGGACTAGAATGTGAAAGCATGGTCTAGTGAACAAGTACAAACAGAAAGGTGATGTGTTTGATTTGAATGCTAGGATGTCTGCTTTTTCCCTGGTTCAATATCCATTTACTGAATGATCAGAAAAGCTTCTAACTGATGGTGTTCCTGATTTATCTTTTAAACATTTTGCGGATGTGCCTTGCTCCCACCACCACCCAAGCCAGCTGGAGCAGGGATGAGAACTGGCTACCTTCACACGGGTGCGTGTTGCAGAGGGCCTCCTCAGTGTGCAGCCCAATGCAGATATCCTCCCCGCTAGATGGAGCTGGATTGGTGCAAGTCCGCGTGCGCTGGTAGTGTCCTCCTCCGCAGGTTGCTGAGCACTGAGACCAAGGAGTCCAGCACGACCAGGAGCCTTTCACTGAAGGGTATGGAAAAGCAAGGAGAGAGAGGTGCATGCAGTTGGTTACTCCTCTCACTGTGACAAAGCTGGAGAGTCCCCATATCTCACCTTCCAGGTCTACCCTGCCCAGACTAGCTAGCACTTTCTTGCACCCCAGGACATTTGGTCCTGACAAGAGCTTGATATCAAGAGAGGGTTTGAAGATGCTGAACTCTGTGGATGCCAAATGAAGTCTATGCACAAAAAGACTGCATCATAAAGCACCGTAATAGAAACTATTCCTTAGGGTAGGCACTTTGTTGTTACACACCTTTTTATTGTTATTATATTGTCTTCTGACACTTCACCTAAAGCAGCAGAGTATTCACTTGGAAAAATGGTGTTGTACAACCTAAGTGGAGTTTATATGGCACCTTTCTGCAGGGAACCCCAAATCTTTTAGTCCCAGCCTTCAGAAAAGGGAAATTCAGAGGCTTTTTATGAGCACAGTCCCATAACACATTAATAATAAATCCAGGGAGGGATTTAAGAACCCTGCTTCCCAACCCCTCTTGTCAGGTTACTAGACTACCTGATTTTCAGGTCCACATGCCACTACTTCAGGAGACAGCAACCTCATGACTTAGTGCAAGATGAACCCAGGATTTGTGTATACATATTGAGTGAGGCAGGGAAGGAGGGAGACACAGAGAAATAGAAGTCATGCACTTACAATAGATTGTAAAACATCATAGTGTCCAGGGAGAGAAAACAGCACAGAAGAAGGGCACAGACATTAGTGAAAAGCCACTGAAGAGTTTCCAAAATAGTACTAATAGCTGCCTTTATAGCACTAGAGTTATTTTCTTTTTATAAGCCACAGAGTGCAATATTTGACACTCTTGCTGTGCTCTTGCTACACATTCTGATCATGTTTTCCTACCTGCATTGGCACTTTATCTTTGCATTGAATTTTAATATCATAATAATACTATAATAATACGGCATTTTCAAGTGTAGGCCACAAACTATATTGCCAGAGTTAGATAATTGCTAGAACTGCAAAGAGGCAAAGTAATTTGTGTAAGATCACTTAAATTTAGCTTAGATAGCTATTATAGAGCAAGGAGAATGATAAGAGAGTGAGAATACATTAGTCAATAGTCTATTATTACTATTCTGGACCAGGAGTGCAACATAAACATGAGGACAAACTCGAAAACCAGGAAACCAGGCAAGAATACTCCCTGCTGGCTGTGCAGGAAATGGTAACTGATGTCAAGAGTAGATGCCCATCGCAAGAACAATACGTAAGCAGGAGAAGGGGAAGAAACAAGTGTTCACAAGAAGAACTGCCACATCAAGCATCTCTCTACACAGCATTAAGTCACATTCATTAAGCCCGTCTCCTCACCAAGGTGCAGGTGCACCACCATGCCCTCCACTGGATGGAGCAGCAAACCTGCTTGAAGCAAAACACTGCTAGACAAGCCACCGTGCTACTTCCTTTAGAGGATGTGGCTGTTTTATCCTCTGAGCCTAGGTGACACATTAGTCACAGCACCAAAGTGTGTGTGGATCACATATTGGATCATTACAATAGCTTTCAAATAAATTAAGGGTAAATCCCCCAAATTAAAAAAAAAAATAATAATAAAGGCAGATTGGGAATACTGATTTTTGGTGGCTCGGCCATTAAAATGGGCAAGAACAGGTCTGAATTTCGTGCAGGAATATAATCATGGTTACCTGGGCAGGGATGTGGGTTGCAGTCCTGGTACTCCATCGCTGACCCCACGCAGGGCAATCCACCATTTTTAGGTTCAGGGTTTGTGCACGTTCTCTTCCTGATCCTAAAGCCCAACTCACAGTCCCTGGAACAGGAAGACCAGGCCCCCCAAAAGGACCAGCCCCCATTGATAATCCGTGCAGAGGTCTTACCAGTCTTGAGGAGGTCATCAACAAGAGCTTCAAGGAAAACAAACAAGACACCACATGGTCACAAATCAATCAGTTGCTGGGCTTTTAAAAAGGACTTCATCTCATGCATACAATCAGGATTTGTGTGCCCTGGGGATGAGTTTCTGTTCTTAGCAAGTGTTACAGGGTTACAGCATAGCTAGAAGGGAAGCAAAATCCGTGCACATACAAACTGAGTCTAGCGATAACCTTGATAAATGACCCTTCTGGGGAGCAAACTGTGGCAGTTCAGGCTCTGCCCTCAGGTCGCTGCCTTGGATCACAGCAGTAGTGAAGGGAATAACCCCAGAGGCAGTGCACAAGGGGACCTCCAGAGAGAAAGAAAAGTAAAGACATGCTATTCTGCAGAATAGCTTTTTTTTTTGTCTCTATACCCTGATCACTTGCCTGTTCTCATTGGGGCAGCTTGGCAGTACCAGGAATAGATCTATATATACACTGCCACAAGCACAGGGATCATAATGGTGTTGACAGCTAAGTCACAGGGCTCTCTCCGTCCCCATCATTCTGCTATGACACTAGTTGTGCATGCCAGCAGTTTCTGGCTGTTCTGAGAGGATCCCCCTTCCACCACCAAATCTAGGCTTTCCCCGTAGTGCCCCGAAGCTGGCAATACATACAGTCGGTATCGCACACTGCCGAGCCGTCATTGGGACAGAATCGACTCTCAGTCTTCTTCCTCCCAAACTGCAGCTCGTGGGGATCAGAGAGCTGGGCACGACACGTGTAGCGGAAGCGCTGCTCCTGGCGGGCACCGTTCTGGGTGATATTGACAGGCATCCAAGGGGTCCAGGGTGTGTTCCTACGCACCTCTGGGCAGCTCTCTGGGTTGCAGGTCTTATATTCCTGCCAAGAAGGAAAACTACTTTGACCTTACTTATCAAACAGCATCAGACTAACTGACAGAGATGTGTTTACACCCTAGAAAACAAGGGGTACATGCTGGATCTAAAACAACCTTCATTCACCTTCTCTGACCTCACAGGTACAACACAGTGCTGGGCACAGCACAAAACATGGGGACTGTGGAGGCAGAGGTGCTTCAGGTAGACCGCAAGGGTGGACTGCGTTTACTATTTTTATGTCTCCCTCAGGTCTTTTCTCTGCTGACTCAGGTGTTCTTGCTCATTTGAGTCCTGTGGGGCTTAGAAAGCATGGTGCATCATGGGCAGAAGAATAATTCAGGCAGTGCATAATAATAACAGCAGACTAGTTTTCTGCTGTGACCCTGATATGCTGCTCTTAGGTTGGCATAGAGGAGCCCCATGAGGACAAAATGTCAGTAAGGTTTACTCCTTGAAAAGTTTACTGGTTTAAAATGGTTTTAGATAATCCGTTTTTACAGCTATTTTTTATTTTTGTTTGGTTGGCTTTTTGAATCCTCTAGTGGAGACTACGAAACATTTGCCATCTTTAGTGTAGAGATGAGCATCCACAGAGTAGAGCCAACATTCGGGTGGATGGGGATGTGGTGTTTCAGGGTCCTTACAATTCTCACCACCAGCAGGAAGATTCCAGTGAAAAGCATTGAGTTCTTGTCTAAAAATAAATAAATAAACCCATATTTTCTGGCAGAGAGAGAGCAATGTAATACTTTAGGACTTTATGATTCTAGAGTAAATGCCAAACAGCTTGTGAACAGATGGGAGGTTCCAGATCAAATCTGCTTACACTGAAAGAAAACTCTCCATAAAACTAATTAAAACATCTGCACAAAACAGCTGCCAGAATAGGAAAGGGAAAATAAAGGAGAGAAAATTGGTAGCCATTGCCTCATTGATGGGTTAACTGGGTGTATGACCTGTTGTTTACTCAAGTATGACAACGAGACTCATGTCTGATGTGTGCAGGGCCTCCTTGACTCAACAGGGTCATCCTTGGGAGTGGGATAGAATAAAAGAAATGTAGAGTTCTGCCAGTTAAAGGACTTGATATCTAAGCCTAGAGAGGCCTACGAAGTTCTCTGTGTGCCAGTCTGTTCTTACCTGTACACACACACAGACACACGCACAGACACACACACACTCAAACCAGCTTCACTGACTTCTGGAATCTGCCACCTCTCTGCTTCCCGGTTCATTTCAGCATCCTCTCCAGCAAGAGCTGAGGATAGCAATTTCTTCTAGCTTGAGAAATAAAACCAAGATGGAGAGAGGAGTTAAATAACAAGTCCCTAGAAGCTAGATGTTAATAGGTGTCCCACATGCAAAGACAATAAACACTACATACCACAGCACAGCCTGGACATGTATTTCCATTTTCACAGGACCTCTGCCTTGAATGAATTCCTCCACCACAATTCACACTACATTTATTCCAAGGACCCCATGAAGACCAAAAAATTGGTAATGGACAAGGACTGTTCTCATTACAGAATCTGAAAGAAGAAAGCATATTGCTCAAATAATGTCCATGTCAGCACAACCTAGGAGCAAGATGATGATGGATGCAAAGCTACATTGTACACTGCATTTGAGTGCACTTATTGCACGCACAGAAAGCCAGCAGAAAGTTGACACAACAGTCAGATTAGCGGTATTAGTGTTCATAGCAGAGAACTGTGCTCTTTATAAAGAGGAGTGGTTAACCAGGCTGAGCTTACTGACATAGTTGGAACGAATGGTCAAGACCGTGTTTTTGAAAATGCACTAATCATGTTTTATGCACTGAATTTATACAAGAACTCAGCAGCTGAAGCCCATGTATCAAAAAGGGAGATAGTGAATGGTAAATATTTTAAAAATCGGGCTTTTATTTAGGAAACTAATATGAGGTCAGCTCCACATTGATCTGTCACTAACAGCAGGTGCTAAACACTTGACAATCTTCCTGTCCCATGATCTGGCCCTTACTGTTCTTTGGTTCCTAAGAAACTAGTGCTTGCAACTGGAGCTGAACTAGATGCTATATGCATCTAAAGGCAGGCCCTAAATTAATGTTATTTCATGTTCCCTTTAGAAAAGGTAACTTCAATTTTGTCCAGCTTTTTAATCAATATTGTTCTCAAATTGAATCACCCAGGACTGTAATTGACTCAGATGTAGTCTTTAAAACCCAAAAAGGACCATTCTGAATGGCCACAAATCAAACCAAACATTAAAATGTCCTGAATAAAGGAAGTTAAATGAATTGCCCTTTGTATTCTGAGAAATGCAGAAAGATCTGTCTTAAGTGACCACTCAAGGGACAAGCAACAGCCTACTGCCAAGCAGAGGTGGCCTTTAATGAAAATGTCAAAGCTGGAAACCAAATCGGGATGCCTTGAAGCATGTGTTTATTGAGGGGTTGGGTTTGAAGAAGCAAAATAGTGCAGATAGCTTTGAACATTAAAAGAAAAGTATTGTCTTTTAGTGATTTTGCATAAAAGTTGCTTACTTTATAGGGAAAAATGATGTTTTTCTGATGCAATGCCCTGCAAAAACTCAACCTTGAATCTGTGAATCTGTATTCTGTCTTGAACTTGTTTTGGTGCATCAGCACAATTAATATAGACTTAGGAATGGTGTAATTGATAATGAAAGCTGCACACGTTGAACTACCTCCTAAGGGACAGATCAGAACAGTGTAACTATCTGTAGATTCTGCATTGCTAACAGCAGACACAGCTTCTCCTTTCACTGAGGTGGTCAACCCTCTGCTTTGGGCATGGGAATACTTGTGAGGGTCTAAATGGTCATGCCTGAGAGAAGAGGCAGCTCTGCAGTCTCTGATGGTCACAAGCTCATTGCAAGACAGTGGCCATGCATGTGAGCAACCTCATCCCTCTTAGGCTCTGAAATTCCTTCTTCTGTGCATATTCAGTCTAACAGCCTTCCTGTGCAGTCATAGAAGATCCATCACTTCCAGCTGCCAACATAACAGCAGAAGTGATCACACGGTGTTGTTAAGGTATCTTACCTCTCTTCCCTGCTCTGTCCAACGCAGACCCTGCCCCCATACCGTGGAGCAGGGTTGCTGCAGGATCGCTGGCGGACCTGGAAGCCAATCCCACAGGAGGTGCTACACGGGGCCCAGGAAGACCAGGGTGTCCAAGCGCCATTTCTAACATAGTTTGAGAGAGAACAGAGTATGGGGGTTACCTAACAGTCTGCCTGTGTTGTGCCACGCTTTACAAACAGATATGTCTCTGATAGCAGAATGCTTGAACCAGTCAGAGAAGAGAGACATTCATTTCAACCAGACTTCACACCAGCTAATATTTAGCAAAGGGATTTCCAAAAGTGCTTAGCATTGGCCTTACTTCCTTGCCATTGAATTATCTAAGAAATGGATAGGAAGAGAATGAAGCCAACGTTGAATGATTTAGAAAATGCCTGCCAGGAATTGCTGGGCAACACTGTGGTTGCTACAACTCTCACTGACTATTCCTCCATCATCTCCCCCATATCTCCAAACCCCCTCTTCTGAGCCAACAGCTGGTCCCAAAGTTGTATCTCCTGGACTCTTCTGCAAAGAGTGCAGGTTTTGAGACTCATCAATGCCAATTGTGCCAAAGGATATTAAAAACTTCCCTCTAATTCAGTAGGTACTGATGCTTTAAATCTCTTACAGCAAAACTGTTGCCAGCTCCAATCATTCTCTCACAAACCTCATAATGTTTGGTGTTTTCCTAAACCCTTCGGCATTGAATCCTATTAGGTGGAAATCTCAAGTTTCATAAAAAATAACAGTAATTGCTTCTAGCTTTCATGGCAGCCTGCAAGCATCACTGTAGTGTGACCTTAAATCTGTAGAAACCAGAGGGCAATTAAGAGCTCAGAGGTAGGATAGAATTTCAGGGTTTAATGAGTGATTGCATCTCGGATGAGAAGTGGAAACTGAGCCTGAAGCAAATGTGATGTAAAAACCCTGAGTTCGCACCTCACAACGGAGATGTCAGGCCACATACATGTGGCTGGCTTCTGTGAGGATGCTGCCATGCAGTAACTCCACCATGTGCTCACACAGAAGCTGACATAATCATCTTTAAAATCTCCTGATCATTAAAGCTCACCTTGCTCTGATTTAGCAGCACTACTAAACCTCGGAGCCTCACTAAGGCAGGCTGGGAGGAACTGTATCTCATCTCTTCTGTGCTGCAGGTTTCATTTCATTTGAAGCCAGTGGCAACGCTCTGTCTTACAGAACTGCCTCATCTTGACACTTTGCTGCCTAAAGCCAAAAAAAATCTCCTTTTTGTTGTTGTTGTTATTTTTCTAAAGAAAAAAGCTTTCTAAAAAGTCTAGTCAAAAAAACAACTCAGGTGCTCTCTGGTTCTTGAAAGCTAAGCTTGAAAACAGATGTTAATTTTCAAAGCATTTACTGAACTAATAAAACTGCTGGCAAGAAATATTTTCTGGCGTAGCACCAATGAGGGCAGAGGATGAAAGTTAAAACCCACATTGCCCTTCACACTTTTCCTATTTGTTATCAACTCTTGCCTGTTCTTGGCAGCTTTATTTCAGAATCTTGCTAGATATTTCTCCCCTCCTCCTCTTTCTCTCTCATCCCTTCTTCCCTTCCCCTTTCCTACCCCAAACAAGGTCATAGAACAAGAAATTCGCTTACATAAAAATGTTACTCTTCTAAGTTACTCTTCCATGTTTTAACCCTCCTACTATATCCCCAGGCCTTAATCCAAAGCAAAGATTATGTTAAATTGTGAAAGAAATAAACCGGATGCTATTTGCTATTTGCTGCTATTATGGCAAAATAGGGTAAGTAATTTCATCTAGAAATTCCCCAGGAAAACAACAATTCTCAGCATCCATTTGTGTGCTCAACATTTTTAACAGAAATGAAGACACTTTCCGTGTTCAGATTTCTAGCTTTCTAATAGAACTCATCTTTAGTCATCCTGATTCCTCTTTCAAAAAGAAATCTTAATGCCATATGAAGTCAATTAAAGGAAATTTGAGGGCTGAGGTGGATGTAGGATGACCAGATGTCCCTATTTTTCAAACCATGCTGTTTTCCTGTGTCTTAAGATTGAATAATCTATTTTCCATCCCCTGCTCAGAAGCTGTTCTTGCCTCTTTTGCCATCAGAGCACTGCTGAGAAACCCATCCCTCTGACATAATTTGCCTTTGCCAGTGACATGAACAGACAGCCTTGGGAAGGCTCTGCTCAGCCCACGGTGGCAGCACAGGGGTAGAAATGACTACACATCTTTTAGGCAGCACAGCCCACAACTAGAAGGAGAGATGCCAATTCAAACATGAGTACTGCTAAATATTTGGTTCCAAGACCAGCACTGATCTCTAGGGAGGAGCCAAGAGACAGCTGTCCTTAATGAAATGAACATCTGTAAGGAAGATAAAGTAGATAAAAACTGAATTGACCCAATATTTACCAAAATACTGGCTGGCCCCACCCTGGTTAAGTAGTGCTTACCCTATTGCCTCGTCTTTCCTTGAGTCATGACATGATGTAGTCTGCGGGTGATGGGGTAGCATGGGCATAAACACCATGGCTACGTATAGGCACCCCACCAGAGCACACTTAGCTTCCATAGTGCTGAAGTGTGAGCTCCAGGCTTCTCTGGGAACGTGGCACTTTGACACAAGCCAAGCTGCATGTGTTGTTTACCTGCTGTGCCCAGCAGACGTGCCTCCTGGATGCCTCTGGCTGCCAGGCCAGCGTGCTGCAGGCAGTACGCGGGACCGCAGAGCAGCGCAGGCAAACCTTGCTCGCAGCCACGTGAGGTCCTGTCTCTACAAGCACTGTTCTGGAGGAGCTCTGCTTTTGGCAACACAAGCTCAGAATTCAGACTCCGCAAAATAACGATCGAGAGCTTACTGATGTTTTTTACCTTACCCTTGTTCAGTTGGCTAACAACTACCTCTGCCTTACTCACCTCCTCCTGATGGATGGGTCACTACTCACTGTACCCTTCAGGGAAACTGTGGAACGGTGTATGCAAGGTTAACCTTAACATTAATTTGGGGTGCCCGACTTCCAAGGGCCCTGGCCGAGACACCTGAAGGACCCAGGCACCTTCATTTTTCACTGACCTCAAGCTGGACCTCACATACCTCAATTTGCCTGGGATACAACATGGTCACAGAAACACAAGGAGAGAGATAAGCTGTGGACAGACACAATTCTTGTTCCCTTCCCAAAAAGCACAGAGATGCCGAGATACCTTGAACAATTGGCGACCTCAATCCTGGCCCCTTCACAGCCACGACCTCCGCAGCGAGGACGAGGGCTGTCACACGAACGTGACCTACACATACAGGAGCCCGTGCTGTCCCCATCCGAATGCTCACACGGTTGCCATGGGGACCAAGGCCCCAATCTTCCATTTGTTGTCAGGTTTTTCACCTAGTTTAAAAAAAAAAAAAAAAAAAAAAGGTCATTAATAGCAAGTTTACATTTCTGGAGACAGCCCCACAATAGAAATGCCAAACAAAGCTGCCGGGGGGATTAAGATGCAGCTTAGATGGGAGCTGTCTGTGCTTGTGAGCGGGATTCAAAACAGAGGGTTGTTTTCAGGCCGTGCCGTGTCGGTGTTTACCTCCAAATTCCACCCCACATACCGAACGTGTGCGCGCAGGCAGCCGAGCCTGCCCCGCCAGCACAGCGCCCGGCCGCAGGCCTCGCGCGTCCCACACGGCGCAGCTGCAGCCTCCCCAGCAAGGTGACGGCCAGCCGTGGCTGTCCCCTCTGCTACGGGGGGTTTGGGCCTGGTCCTGCCCATTATTTACCGAGACAGCGTTTGTATAACCACAGTGACCAGAGCAGGCTGAGGCCTCCTTGAGTCTGGCCCTGTCCAAACGCACTGTAAGAACTGCCTCCGTTTTCCAACAGAGCTGTAGCCTACGTGGCTAAGCTGGGTGAAGGGCAGAAGGTGAAGGAGATGGTGGGGGCTAAAATTAATGCTTAGGATCATGCACTGGGCTAAAGAGCAAGGATTCATCTCCAGGCAATTTACAGGCCAGACCACACTGATGTTTGTTTCCTCCTTGCACCTTGTTTCGTGCCTGCTCAGCGCCCAGGAGCCTGGGGCTTGAGCTCCCTCCGCACTACATTGAAGTGAAAATGCAGTAGTCCTGTGAGAAAAACAACTGTTCCTGCCCAGGACTGGGGATGACCTTCCAAGAGATACGGTGTCAGAGCCTGCTCCCATGTCTCGTTTTAACCAGAGCTGCTCAGTGAGCCCCAAGATGTGGGCTAAAGGATTGCTGCTGGCAGCCAAGGCTGACTTGAGAAAAGCAGAGCTGCCTGCTGCTCTCTGGATCACTCCCAGGCCATCGCCGCCTTCCTGTGCCCACCACTGCTGCTGGAACCAGCTCTGACAGCAAAATTCAGCAACTCCAAAATTCAGCAACTCCAGGACCATGCCTGGAAGCCTGCTCTGACACCTCTGCCCCAGGCTCTCCCTGTTCCTGCCCAGGTACAGGCGCAGCTCAGTCCCCTACCATCTGGGAACTGCTGCATTTATAGCCCACGTCAGATAATACATTTCCACACCGTGGTAACAACCCCAGGGCTGCTACAGCCCCCCTCTCCCCGTCATACAGGTGCTGTACCCAGATGATGTGTAGGGATGTAACATCAGAGACCACTTGGGCAAAGCAGAGTAATGGTCCCTGTAGAGCAGAGAACTCTCTTGGTTTCTCTAAAGCCCCAACACACGCCAGGTAGCACAAGAAATTTGGCTACAACAAGCAGTTAATGCAATGCTGAAGGTCTTACAACCACGATACCCTATGGCAACAGGGAGCCCAAAGTATCGTAGTAGGCAGCCAGCAGTAGGAAGGTTGAAAGTGCTGGGCCAGATCCAAGGTCTGCAGCTCGAGAGTGACCCCAATGCTACTCCTTGAGGAGCTGAGGGTTACCTTAGTTTCCCTCCCATGCCATTTACCTCTCCTTCATCTTTTCTACTTTGTGACTGGCTTTCTCCTTGCTACAGTGCAGCATCACGATTCACCCTCCCCCAGCAGCTCCCTCCATCCTCCCCAACCCATGTCCCAAAGCGCAGGGCCCCACAGGTAGGACAGCACCAAAGGCAGCTGCCTGCGCCTGGCTCATCCCCATGGGGTCACTCCTGGGGTGGTGGGATGCTCAACAGCTTTGGTAAACCCGTTGGCAAAGGCAATGCTGGGCTTGGCCTTGATGTTGCACGCAATGAAGAGCAAAGAAAAGAGGAGGCTGGGGCCCTGGCGAACAGCCCTGACCCCAAATCTGAGCCAGCTACCGCTGACAAGCCCCACTGTGCCATGCTTGGCTGAGCTCTGAAGCCAGCAGGATCAATCCCTTGGGCTGCCCGGGGGGGGAATCATTTCTCCTGCTTTCCACACAAGGAAACCAAGGCACAGAGAGGCCGCGAGCCTGCTCAGGGTCCACAAGTGAGCCAACTGTGGGCAAGGGAGCAGCGCTTTCCAACACTCATTGTCTTAAACACTTTGCTCTGGGCTCCTCTGAGCCTGGCACTACATTAAACACTCATGATGAACCTCTGGTGGGCCATCATTTTCCCCTCTCACCCATCTACAGCAACATAAAAAATACACAGCAGTGACCTAGAAGTAATTTAGATCTGTTACTGTGCTTGTCAGGCAGCAGTTGGGGGGTTTCAAGCATCTGTTGCAAACCTTTGTTTGCAGTAGATTATCATGTCGTCATAAAAATTTGCTCTGGGCTGCAGGTTACAAAGCAAAATACCCAGAGAAAAGAACATTGAGTTTTGTTGTTGTTTTTTGAATTTGTTGTTTTAAACATGCATGCAGTCAAAAATCAATACTGTTTGGTTGCTAAAAGTCAGGGAGAAAAAAAAAATCAAAAGAACTACTTGAAGATATTTAATACTAGATTTTTATCTCCTCTTTTCTCCTGCCTTACAAAAGTCATAATCCAAATATTGGATCATTTCTGTTCATTTTTGAGCCAGAAAGCCTTGCCGATTCCAGCAGGGAGTTCTGTTCAGAAATCAATGGTATGATATGGCCCGTGGCTTCAATTAAAAAAAAAAAAAAGCTGACAAATAATTATTGGCTCATAAGTGATACTGGGAAGCAACCCAAAAATTAAACAAATAAGCAGCCATAGCTGAAATGTTGAGATTTATAAACATGTCACGTTGAGAGTGTGGGAAGTTTTTTTTTTACTTATGAAATTACATATGGATTATTATTCCATCTTTAAATTCATAACAATATCTTCAAAAGAGCAAACTTAGGAAGTGGGATAAAAACTCATCTGCATTGATCTTTTTCAGGAATATCTTTACAAGGTAAATCCTTTGTAGCCAACACAGTGTCCATCAGACAGTGAGGACATCTTTAAAAACATCCACGATCAAATGCCCGTCTGTAATCTGACATTACTACTAATTCCAGAGTTCTTGTAGTTAGCAAACTGATATATTCCTACCAAAGGTGTCACCATTTTGTTTCTTCCCTCTACCATTTGCAGGCTCAATTGTAGGATCTAAAAATTCGGACTGACCGCTCCTACCTCCTGCTGCCAGGATATTTTCAATGCTTATTCTGATATTACTGATAAGGCTGGAAGCATTCCTTGTCCTTTTGTTACTTCTGTGCCTCCTCTTAGTTTTCACATGTCAGCTGCTTATAACCTTATCAAGCTTTGATTATTTCAGTTGGAAGTTTCCATCTTGGTTGTTTGATAGAAGCTGAAAGTTCATACAAATTTTCAAGTCAAAACATTTCAATAATTTCTAAAACCAAATCTAGGAGGAAAGAACGTTTGTCCATAAGTAGCAACATTTTCTTAGAAACAAGCTAGTGTTCAGAGCAAGGAACTGAACTTTATGTCATTGGAACACCTTTTTGCAATTTCCATGAAAAGCCACTCAAATCTGTCTCGGGTATAAAATTCTTGGGAGGTGCGGAGGAAAACTGTCAGTTTTCAGAGACTCATGGGTTTGATTTCAGCATGTGTAGGCCCCTCTGTGCACTGGGCAGGCTCCAGTGTGGGCCAGAGTAGGGTTATCCTGAGCAGTACAGCTGAGTGGCAGCCACACATGGACTGAGAGGGGCTGACTACACAAGTCTGTTACTCACCCCAAAAAAGAATTGGGGGATCTAATGAGCAAGAAATTAGGGTAACATGGAGCAGATGCCAGAGGACTGAGATAGAGGTTTGCTGGATACACAAAGATGGGACTATGATGAAAAACCCATGAGTTAGAGCATGATTTGGGTCAGCCTAAGGAGGACTGGACACTTAATTGGCATTACTCAGTTCCTGAGTTGCAGACCACCATCATCAGTGATACCATGAACTCAGTTACTGAGCCAAATCTAAACTTCCTTTCCTGCTGGTGGTTCATGTTGGCATCAGTAAGATATAAAGTAGGATACAGTGGTTGTTTTTTTTCTTTTTTTTTTTTTTTCCTTTCTAATAATTATATATTAACCATTGCACAATGGTTAATTAACCAGTGCACAATATGTTAAAACACTGTATGATTAACTCTGTATCTAAGGTCCATTAGTATTAGATCTGGATAGTGGGAATCTGTGGTGCAATGTGGTGCTGTACAAAGATGTGCAGAGCAGCTCTGAACAAGCTTGTTTGCATAAGATCAGCAGTCAAGTTGTGTTAGTGTTGTGGTTGACTCACAAATGCCTGGCTCTTGTAGGATATAATTCAATAATATGCCAGTTCTGGCTTTAAAAGTTCGTGTGTGCCACTCTCTTCGCAGTGCCAGGACATCTGTTTGTGGGCTAGGCTACAGAAGAACTCCTGAAATTATGTGAGTTAGGAAAAGTTTATTTGGGAGGAGTACTTTTAATCTACACCATGTCACACTGGAGTGTGATCTCACATACAGCTGTACCAGCACAGCTGAGCGCCTGGTGCCTGGCCCAGAAAAGTGGGGTGTGAAAAGCCAGGACTTCTTAAGATGGTAACGCATCAAACTGAAGTCCCAGCATGGGCATTTGTCACCAGTGACGACTGCCATTGGGTCACTGCATTCCTCTGCCTTTCCAGTGTGGAACGTGCTGCCCTAGACTTATCTCTGCTGACCAGGATCTTCATCCTGCACTGAACACGAAGAACATACTTGTATGTTGCTGATGGAGGTGCTTAAATGAGCCATCCCATCCCATGCCAGGGGTGAACTCATTCCAGCAAGGGGCAGAGGAGAAAGAAAAAGGAAGCACTTGCATGTGGCTTTTAATGGGCTTGGCAGCCCAGTCGAAGAGCTGATGGGCTGATGTATGCAGCAGAATCACAGCACCTAAATGGAAAATAATCTACAAGAGAAATGTTAAAAGAATGTAAAATTAGCACCCCAAGAACAGCCGTGGCTGTATATTCTGTGCTGGATTTTTATGACCTTGAAACAATGATCTGGAGTAGCCTGTTCCCTAGTGTGCACCACAGCAGACATGTTCAAACTAGAGGATTAACACCTCACACACCTATCAACAGACACAGGCATTAAGCAGGACGAGATAACAGCATGGGCAATCAAGAAGCACTGCAGCCCAGTTCAACACAGGAGGGTTATAAACACACAAGCATCTGAATCCAGCAGTGAAAAACTTAAGCCTGCCAAGCTGAGGATGGATTGAAGTAATGACTAATATTTCCTGGGAAAATATGAGGAGCAAGGAAGATAAGGGGAATAAACATCACAGTACCTCCAGATATAAATAGCATACTGAAGATATAGCCCATCCTGCCCCCTCTTTCTGTCTACCAGACTTATCAGTATTAACATGCTAATTGTCATTAGATAAAGCAGATAGACATTAATGAAAATTTCTCCTCCCCTCCATCCCTACAACTTATTTAATAAGACTGGTTTTCCTTCCCAACCACCTCCCAGGTATGGTTCACGCAGCAGGAATTAAATTTGGCCAGATGGCTTCTGGGGATCACAGCCAGGAACTGGATGTTGAAGTCAGAGAAAAGGGGGTGGGCGGATGGGAAGGGAGCCGGTGAGCCAACTCAAACTAATTCAAGCAGACACTTTCTTTTAACTGCTGCCTCTCATGGAGACCATGAATATCACAGAGGTTTGGTCTTTGGCCTGTTGAATTGAGGTGAGAGCTGAACTCTTTCTCATATTCTCTCTCTTATACAGACTCCCCCCTTCCCTCATATTCTCTAATTGATATGCATCTTTTTGTTCCCCCGCAAACCACCCACACATGCCATGTTTCTCTGCTGCTCCCTAGGTGCCTCTTCCTGCCAGCACAACATTTTTCCACCAGAGTCACCCCCTGGGCTGTGCTCAGGGATCCAAGAGAAAAACTAACTGAATGCTGCTCGAGGACACCGTACGTCACCGACTCTGATCTCCCCATCCTGCAGGGAAGCCCATAAGGTGGTGCAGACAGTGGGGCAGCCCTGAGACACCTCAGGTTTCATCTGGGGTTTACATGGTTCTCAGCAGGAACCCAACAACATGATCCACCCTTCTCCACCTAGCAAGAATAGGCATGAAGGGGCCTGAAAGCTTGCTTTGGGATCCCCCTTTTAGGGCAAATAGATTTTGGGGGTCGTTGTGCTCTCAACTAGTGACTGTGCACAGATATTAGAGGAAGTACCTGTCACTAGGCTCTGAATGCTTTTTTACCAGCCAGTCCTCATCAGGCTGACACACGCTCACTTGCAATATTCCTTTTACACATAAGCACACACTCACATGTCGGTACGTATATAAAATATTTCCACTTACTGGGCACTCAGTAATATTTTGAGTCCACAGGCTCATGTTGGAGCTGTCCTCAATGGTGGTGCATCGCTTCTGCTTGTTATCCCAGCCGCAGTAGGGGTCTCTGGCTCCTAGGCATTCCCTGCATGTGCAAAGAGAAAAGATTAAAGCTCTTTGAGGCTGTCTAGCTCTAAAGACACATATTCAAGCATAGTGCTTGTATATGACAGCTGTCAACTGTACCAAGGCTCAGCAGAAGAAACAATTTCTTCTAAGCAGAGGTTTACCTGCTTGGAAGGAGAGAACGGCTGAATAGAAGGGTGATAGGACACAAAGCAAATATCACTCATAGAAACTGTAGATTAAAAATCAGTTCACTTCTTTCCAAGGCCTAGGGAAAGAAAATGACTTTACAAATTTTAGTCAAAGAACACTTGTCATTGAGATATCTTTGTGCCCCCATGTAATCACTCAGCAGGCCAAATCTCACACAAAGCAACCTCTGTGAGTATGTTTTCTGACACTATGTCCATCCAAAAGGGTTAGACAAGCAGAATTAGCCAATGGACCAGTAATAAAGGCTTTCTATTAGTCCTGGCCTTTCCTGGAACAATGGCTTCATTTATAATCCCAACATCAAGATGTCAGTTTGGAAAAGTCACAGCAGAACATTATTTCTAAGCTTTTGGCTGCTTTGAACACTGCTGTATTCATTTTCCTCCTGAATCCATATTTACAGGCTAAGTGTGTGTTCCCAACATGTGAGCTGCTAAAGAAAAATAACTAGGGTTCCTACTGCCACTGAACAGAGAAGGTCAGTCACTGAATTAGTCTGTACCAATAAAATCCAGCTATATTGGTTGTTCCCATGAGTCACTTTCAAATCGTTAATTTTCCTTGAGAAAAAACAACAGTACCAGCCACACCATGCCTGTGTTGGTGAAAGACAAAGAAGAGAGGACTAAACCCAAAAGGATTTGCAAGACTATTTTTTATTCCAATAATCCATTCTCTTCTATCACACAAAAGGGCCACCAGGATCTTTCCAGAAGTCCCAAATGATTTGAAAACTGCCAATTAGGCAGCAGCAAGGGACCAAGGGGAAAAATTCAGTTCAAGAAGCTAAACGGGAGAGTAATAAAATTTATTCTAAGGGTTGGTATCAGTATGATAAATGAAACATCAAAAAAAAAAAAAAAGAATCAAATGCAATGAGATGTGAACGGCTCCCTCCCAGAAATCTTTGAAATCCTATTAGTCTGTAATCAGCCACAAATGAAAAAGCATGTCCCTTAAGCACAGCTGAAAATGCTCCATCAGCCTGCACTGACTCCAGAGCCATTTGCCCCAAAGCAAACCCTTGATTGTTTTGATGTCTGGTACCCATTGCTTTATATATATATATACACACACACGTATATATACATGTGTATATATTTATATTTTAATTACAAGTTTTCGGTTTGCTCCTACATTGCAGAAAGACATTTCCTCTACTAAAGATTTCACACAGTGAGCTGTAAGGAGCATAACTTTATCTTTCATGCTTTAGGAAGGTAGTTACAAGGACTGTCTACTACATTTTTCCTTCAACTGCTTAAAAACACCCAAGGAAAAGGCAAAGATGATTTTGTCCCAGCCCCAGGCAACAGAACATCAAATATTTGCTTAGAAAAGACTCCGTATCCCCAGTCCAAGGACGCAGAAGGGACATGTGCTGTTTTGCTCATTACTCTGGCGAGGCACCCCGGTCCTACTGGCATCCCACGCTGCCCCCGTCCACGCCGTGGGGCTGCCTCCACGCACAGAGCTGCCCCCGCCATGCAGCAGCCCCTCGGCAAGGTTGGCATCGAGTCAGTGACTGAGCAGCCACAGGGGCATCTGCCCACCCTCTAGGTACCAGCACTTCAGGAGGGAGCTGTGCGGCTCCTAGAGAGAAGAATAACAATGAGAAAAGCGATGGGGAAAAAATAAGAAAAGAAGAAAGCCTGGGCTTTTAGTTACAGAGGCTTTTGGTCACGCTTTCAGACCCTGACACCGAGTACACGCTATTGTTTCCAACTGCATGAGGCCATTTTGCTGGGCGCCCAGCGAGCAGAGAGAGGTCATTGTAATTCATAACAGGGAAGGCTGTTGTGAGCATCACCCTATTATGATACACATTTTCTCTGAATTTAATTTATAGGAAAACATGTGCTGCATAAATTCAGGAAATAATCTCCATATGTTCTGTGCTGCAGCCCTCAGCCGCTCTGCAGGCTGCAATATATCCCGGTTAGGCACTGACCACTTTGCTGGCGCTATTCGTAATGTCTGTCATGCAGCTAATGTGCTGCTCCCGGCGGCGAGCAGCGGGCTGCAGGTCCCTGATGGAGCACTGGGGAGGCTCAGCCCGCCTTCCCCAGCCACCAGCACTGGGCCCCAGCTGATGGGCACAGGCGAGGGAGTTGCAGAGCCACTGGAAGTCCGCAATGCCCAGCTCTGGCCAAAGCCTGGCCTGGGAGCAGGGAGCTCCAGCCGCCTCCGCTCCCTGGATGCTGGGTGTAATGGATCCTTACCCTGCTGCTGCTGCCATCCAGGCAAAGCCCAGGCTCTGCTGAGTTGTCAAAACGTGCACTCTGTAATTTAACAACCATCAAAGACCGGGACTTCTCTCCATCTGACGGCAGGCCCTCAAAACCATTTGAAATCTAAAAACAAAATAGCTATGCTGTCTGCCTCCCTTCAGGATTCAGAGCCCACTCATCTGCCTCAACTCTGGCAAGAAACCTATTATATCAACTGACAGCAGTACACTTAGGGGTGAGGAGGAATGTTATTTACTTACACACAATTTGCTCCATTTTTTTCCTTTTGTAAGCAGGAAAAGCATCACAATGTGCATTACTTTAAGAGAACATTTCTGGCAAGTCCTTTAAGTGAACACTTCAAAACCCACCCTAATTTATATCTTTACAATATCTTTAGAATATATGTCCCTATTTATGTCATTAAGTGATAAAACCACACCAGCAAGCACACACCAAAAGGCATACATATGTATGCATGCACACACAGATCAAAGTGCTTCACAAATGCGTTGTCATTCTTAGTAAATCAGGCACTGTGGCGTGGAAAATGGAAAGATATCAAGGTATTTCCCTATGTGCAGAACACAAAATAAATTGAAATGTTTATGTGTAAATACCACTTCATGTTATGATACTGCCAAAAGGTCTCACACAGGCCTGGGGACCCAAAGTCACGCAGGGCGCTATGTAAATAGTGTGAAATAAGATACAAAGGAGTTACCATGCTGTAATGAAATTCTGATGTTTCAAAGTCCATGGGACTTGATCCATTGGCTCACTGGGGCCAGAATTTCATACCATACATAGAGCCTTCAGCAGTGAAATCTGCATCAAGGTTATCTCAGTGGCAGGCTAGGAATGCCCCTGGGAACTAATGACACGGTATCATTTCCCTTCATAATTCACACAGGTAGAGGGAACCCATTATCCCAAAAGACTACCCGAGCGTGGCAGGTTAACACTGGCTATATTAATGCTAATGACTTAGTTAATGAAATCCCACAAAGTAGGATGTTTGTGGAAGGGAGATGGTGATGATACCACACGGTCCATGCCCCCAGTTCCCCTCTGGCCATCTAGTCACTGTAGTGCATTCAGTGAGGACCCGGGAGAATACCTCTTGACGGATATCTAAGAGGTTGGATTTATTATGACAGAGCATTACTACCACTAGCGATTCACTTTAATTCATTGCCTTGCAATAAATGTCTCATCTGAGGCATAATGGCATACACTGAAAACACTCAATTGAAAAACAATTCCATTTGTATCTCCTATTCAAGCTATTTTTTCTCCGGTTCCTTATTCTCACTTACTAAGGACATTTGCATGAAAATAAGATCTTACTCATAAGAGCTCACCTGCTGCCTGCTGTTTGGGAGCTGTAAGCCTCCCTGGTGTTGGCTATTGCAATCATTTTTACCGCAGTCACCGGGGATAACACAAAGGATTATCACTGTGCAAGTGGGGCAAGAAAGCACGGTGCTCTGAAGTCAATGGAAACTCTTAGCTATGGCTCAAAAGAGTTTTTAAGGGGCCTCTCAAGCCTGGCTGTGCTGAGCCTTCACTAATAGCATTTGCTGCAAAAAGGCTTCTGCTGCTGAGACTCTGATCCTGCCCAACATCTCCTCAAGAAGAGTCACAGCTTCATGAAGGAAGGGAGAAGCACATTTTTGCTTCCCTGTGCCCCAAGGGGCTACTTGGAGACATGCAAGGCATGAGGCCATGTAAATATCTCCATCAGTATTCCCATTCCTTAGAGGAACAGGGGAAGGGAACGGGGAAGAGAAGGCGAAGGGGACCCAAAGGCAGAGGTAGGAAATTGGGAGGCACTTGAGAGGCAGAGGCTCTTCGTGTGTGGCTGCGGGGTGGGCCCAGTACCTTGGTGGCAAACCTCATCCTCCTAAAATAGGAATGGGTCATGGATAAAACAGAGGTCCTCCTAGTGCCATCCCGGGGGGTCTCTGAAGGTTCCTTCCTCTCACACATCCCTGCTGAGACCCCGTCTTGGGTCCCAATCCCACCTCTGCTTCCCACTCCAGGCATGTGACATTGCTGCAGCAGCTACAACTTCAGCTTCTTCGGGAAGTGCCGCTCAGCACCCTGTAAGGAGGTGCACTGCCAGACAAGGAGGTCTCTGCTCAGATCACTGTGGGAGCTGCTCACCTACACACCCAAAACCAGGCATCATCACACTTCATCTTTGTATTCTTTTTTTTTTTCCTTCTTCTTTTAAAGTGGGCTAGATGTGTCCAAAGAAACAATAATGACGGATCATTGAGCACAATGCTTCCTAAAGAAAATGCCTCTTCCAAAATGCATTGCAAAGCAACAGCAGCCTTCTGATAAGCTAAATAACACAAGGATTTGGAAACTTTTTTGTAATAGCCTGGAAGACAACTTCTTTCAAAATCTTCATTAAAACTTAAACGTCTGTAGTTCAAAAGTTTCTGATTCCCTCTTCAATTTGCTCTGGGTCTAGATAACTTCCTCTTTTGGTTGTTTTACCCTGAGAGCTAAAAAGCTTTAGACTGTGTAATAAATGGATCATCAAATCAATAGAACCAGACCC